AGGGTGCTTGTAATTACAATATTTACAACACAAGCATAAACCAGGACGACGCCAGATCCTGCCAAACAGAACACATAAATGCCCATACGATTTCCCAATATATAAATCACAGTTCTCAAAGTGCAGCCCCAGGGGTTCTGAGACTCTCAAGAGGTCTGTGCTACCCTTCAAAAGTTTGACCTTTCCAAAAATTTATTGTTATCTTCACAGTATTAAGAGGTGGGACACCAAGGAGGTGAGGAGGCCAGAGGGCTCCACCCTCATGAATGGGATTATTATCATCAAAAATAGTGAGTCTGGGGGGGCCCCCTTTGCCCTTTTGCCCTTCCACCTTCCGCCATGTGATGATGTAGCAAGAAGCCCCTCCCCAGGTGCAGTGCCCTGGCCTTGGGCTTCCCAGTCTCCAGAACTGTGGAAAAATAAAAATAACAATCTGTAAACTGTGAGTTCACTATAAACTATCCACCCTCCAGATACTCTGTTATAGCAACACAAAACTGACTGAGGCAGTCTGCAATGCAAAACTCTTGTTATAATGATACAAAGATGATATTTGCTTTTTTTCACTCACATTTTCCCTAGAGCGAATAGATGTTTCCAGTAGATACATGACCTATGATATTGCATGGATGTTATATGGAATATATACTTTTATATTCTGGAATATTATAAAAGTTTTCCCAGGTCATAAGTTCAGAGTGTGAAACAAGAATGTTTTCAGAGATGAACTTTTTTCTCCCTCCTGTGGAATTCTTACCATTTACCATGGGTTCTATCTGCTATATCTCTGTGATTTTATTATTGTTCCATAAATTATTGTTTACAAATTCCAAATTTGTCCCTGGCTTATACAAAGAAGAAAATATTTTAAGAAGAAAGTATACTTTTGTTTTCTTTTTGCCATTTTATTTTTAATGGTTATCATTTTAAATATTTATCATTTTAAATTTCTAATACATACAAGTTTATGTACTCCAAAGAACTTCTACCACCCCCACCCCCCAAAATCTCTGAGGTTTTCAATAAGTTTTTGAGAGCATAAGAGAATCCTGACACCAAGAAATTTTTAAACTGCTGTGGTAGATAAATTTTATGCAGAGTTCTTCGGAGTTTCTATTCTGTTGGCTCTTGAAGGGCTTCAGAAGGGTCTATCTTACATGACGAAGGCCAGCATTTGACTCTGCCATCTCCTTTCCTAGTGACACCCTCTTCACAGTAATGGGCCAAGGGAAGAAAGTGACTTAGAAGTGAGTGTCGCTCCGTGGTGCAACACTTTCCTATCATGCTAGGTCCAGGGTCCATCCCCAGCACCACAAAGAAGAAAACAGTGTTGTTTACTCATTCACAATATTACTCTCACAGCTGCATAACTCACACTGTGATGGGAAGAGCTTCATCAGAACCCAGCCACCTGAACTCAGTACTTTGAAATGGTCAAAGGACATAGGAACAGAAAGACCAAAGGACTCTTGACTGGAGATTTGGTTTCAAGTCCCCCTAGAGAGCCCCAGCCTTGGCAGTGAGCGTGGTCTCCAGCTGTCCCCCTACTGCAAGCACCTCTTGACACAGCGGAAACCGTGTGGCCCTCCTCTTCTTAAGGCAATGGTCTCTCTGTGACCCACAAATATCAGTGGGAGAGAAGCTGAGAGTCTTCTGAATGGCTCTATGTCTGCTATCTGTACCTCATGACTTCTAGATAAAGAATGTTAATTCCAAGACAAAGAAAGAGATGTGGAGCATCATTGGTTCTAGCCAATACTTACACTTTTCCCACTATTGCCCCTTTGCCCCATAATCCTGCCAACGTGACACTCAGCACCCTGCCTTGGTGACGGTGGGCTAGAGGAGCCTCACCTCCTCTATGTCAAGGCACTCACTCCCAGACAGTCAGCAGCTCAGCCCAGTCAGTCCCAGCAGCCCTAACAGCAGATAAAAGTTGGAACTGGGTAGCAAACTCATTCGTAACCTGCTCCAGGAGATTGCTCAGGACCCTGCTGGATCTTGCTTCCACCAACAAACCCAAATGGGATTCAGTGGGACCAACGCATTCCCAGTCTCCTGGCGGCAAATCCTGCTAATCCCAGTAGAGGGTCTGAAATACTCCCCTTGGACCATGAGAGACTAGTAAGAACCCAGAATCCTACTGCCGTCTGGACATTGTCATTCGGAAGATGGCAATATCCTTAGGATATGTTCCTTCACAAAGTTCGTCAGGAGCCCAGGGTAAGGTTCAGTGGCAAAGCTCATGCTTAGCGTGCACAGGGCCCTTGGTTCACGGCCCAGCGCCCTCAAAACAACCCACACCAACAAAAATTTTGTCAAGCAGCTCAATGGAAATCAAAGGCATTGATTCCAGTTAGTTTCGATTGGTTAAAGATAACAGTATTTTTAGGGAACGAATGGATGGCTGGAGGTGCAGCTGACTATTAAAGTTGGAGAGAGATTTTACAGGTGAAGAAACTGAGGCTCAGGCGCCTGACGTGCAGCGACGGCTGAAGGTCACATGACCTTCCAGTGGCTAAACCCAGCCTACACCCAGGCCTCCCGTGCTCCCCATGTCAATGGGCGGGCTTGGGTCAGGGGACACGTGTGCTGTCCCTCGGCTTCCGAACCGTCTCAGCCTGTAACACTCTCCCGTCAGCCTCCAAACAGGGAACGTGAAAATGGATTCGTTCAAGTGGTAACCCACAGACTCCAAGCCTTAGCACCTTTTTAAATGAGCAAGTGACACAGAGACAAGCAAGACGCAACCTCCGCAAGTGAATTAATTAGACTTTCAAAAAGAGCAAGCAGGCGTGCCGTGGTGTTTTATTACACAGTTTTCCAAGTGGTAATTGAAAAAGAAGCACTTGATTTTAAATTCTCTCCCCGAGGTGTTAATTGTGGCAGGGAGGGACTGGGGACACGGAGAACCCCAGTAGAATGAATTCCTGCTCAGAACTTGGTGGATACAGAGCCTCCTTGCTCTTGCTTCGGGAAGTTGAAAGGGTTGGAGCAGGCTGGTGGGGGGTGCGCTGGCCATTGCTATAACTGAGATGGAAAATGTGCTCCCACAAGGATCTGCTTCCACACTACTGAGCCTTACACGAGTCCTGCTTGGGGACAGCCCTGAACTTGGACCCCGGTGCTCCTGTGCAGTTGGCCTCTCCCCTTCCCCTGCTCTTCCTTCTTCCTCCATTATGAAAACGTGGTTTGGGGCTACTCTTCAACTCAGCGTCGTTCAAATTCCTAAGGGTCTGCTGTGCAGCTCCAGTACAGGTACTACAGGTTGAGTGACCTTTATCTGAAATGCTTTAGACCAGAAGTGTTTAGAATCTCTGATTTTTTTTTTTCAATCTTGGAATATTTGCATATATTGTCTGTAATGAGATATCTTGGGAATGGGACTCAAGTCTAGCACAAAATTCATTTCTGTCTCATACATTCCTACACACATAGCCTGAAGGTAGTTTTGTGTGATATTTTTAATGCACCTGCATTTTGACGGCAACCCTGTCATGTGAGGTCAGCCGTGGAATTCTCCACTTGTGGCATCACGTTGGCTCTCAAACAGTTTGGCGTGTTGTAGTATTTCAGACTCCAGACTCTGGCATGAGGGATGCTCAGCCTGGGTGTCAGGCATTAGAGAGCTACAGAGGTAAAGAAGACAGCCGAACCTCAGAGAAGATGTAATCAGCGTAAGACTGGCATGTGTCGTGGGTCTGAGCAGATCTAGAGTCCTACTGGTATAAGAACCCGGTGCGGGGAGGTTTCTATTGGCTTACACAGTTTTTAGGAGTCAAAATCAGAGTCAAAAGGTGTCAAGATAATATCCAACCCAATCTTTTATTCATGCAGTGCTCCCCCTGGACACCTGTGATTTCAATATATAGTAAGCTTGGTAAGAGTGTGTGTCTTGGAGTCAGAGCAACACGTTGGCTTACAGCTCCACCATGTGATCTTGAGAAAGTTAATTTCCCTCTCTGTGCTTCAGTGACCTCATCTGCAAAATGGGAATGATAATAACAGCCATCTCTTAGGAGTAAATAAGTTCAGACACGGAGCATTTATAATGGAGCCCAGGACACAGAGAATGCTACCTATGAATGGACACTCCTCCACTCATCGTGGGGTTGTGTCCCGAGAAACCCAACACCAGTAGGAAAGTGAAAATGCATTTAATACACCTAACTTATGGTGCACCGTGCTCACGACACAAGGCCTGTTTATCCTCGAGAATGCGTGGCTGCCTGGGAGCCTGTGTCCCGGGAGAGCTCTGCATACCCCAAGCTCAGGTATCGGAGTTCAAACTTTGATGATCAGTTTCTACTGACCATGCAGTTCTGTCCTTCCCTGGAAACTCCTAAAGGGAAGCGCTGTGTGTCAGGGACGTCTGGACTGCTCTGGAGTGGCTGCAGCCCTTGCAGAACCTCACAGAGGAGGGCGTGATGGAGCACACCTGCAGGAAGGGAGACTCCAGGGGCAGCGCTGGACCACGCCCTGCGGGTGCACAGCTTGGCCCAGGCACACTTGCTGCCAGTCCGTGAGCCTGCCCATCACCCAGCCTCACTGTTAGAAGAAAAAGGGGAGGGAAAGGAGCCTGAATCCGTTGGTATTTACACCAAAGACACGGAGGAAAAAGAATCTGGAAGTGATTGCGTTTGTCTGAAAGTAATTAGGTAAATTTTTACTATGGACAAAAGAGAGAGCTTAAGAGCTAAGCCCAGCTCGGTCGTAAAGGAGGAAAGTTCTATCTGTGACTGCAAATTTAAGACCCATGAATCGGATTAAGAAAACCACCTTACAGCTTGTGGACTAAACTCCCGGTTCCGAGTTCCACGGTGGCTTCCTCTGTTCAGTGACATCTGGCTCCCACTGTGACTCTCCCTGCTTGCTCTCCAAAAGCCCCACCTCTCAAATCCCAGAATGAACCCAGCACCCCCTCCCCAGGCTGTGTTGGCAGTGGCCCCACACGGCACAAGGGAATGATGCTCTTTAAGCCATCATTAAGCCTCATGAATAGAGTGGACACAGCGGTGCCAACCCTGATTGAAAACGAGGGGCCGGAATCAACCCACCCCTCCCAGGGATTAAGAGCATCACCTGTCTCGTACGGGTTTTGTGATACATAGATTTTGGCAATGCACGTAATTATTTATTTCATTTTAAATAGGTGCTCAGGAAAAAAAAATTAAATAAAACAGGTGCTCAGGAAAAAAAAAAATATTATTTCGGGCTCCGTTGGAAGGTATTCCTTCATGAAAGTGACGTGCCGAAGGTAAGAGCGTCCTAGGAATGTCTTAAAACTCCCATTGTCCAGGGAGCTTCACAACAATTGCATCAGAATTTCTGGAGATTGTCCCCAAACATCGGTAACTTGGAAAACCCCCTGATCACCGTGTGCTGGCCAAGCCAAGGACCCTGTGCTGACCCTGCTTCTCAGTGTGTGGTCTTGGACCGCGACATCAGCATCTCCTGGGGGGGTGCACGGGCTGCAGCATCACCCCAAGGACTCAGTCGTACACACACTGGGACAAAACCGCTCCCTCTTAGGCTTTCTCTCCAGGATTAGACGAGTCTTCATGTGTCAAGGAATTGCTGCCATACCGGCGCCCGGCTGGGAGTCGGCGCTCCACTCTGGCTTGACGCTTTGGCCACCTCCCGGCCTCAGTTTCCTCTCTGTGGAAACAGCACACTGGCGAGAGCATCTCAGCCCCAGCACTGATCAGCCCGTGAGTCGACACATGTGGCCTCGGCCCAGCACAGCTACTGATGAGCCATGGTCCCTCCCCCCGGTCCCCAGCTGGGATCCCCAGGGTGTCCTGCTGAGGAGTCCAACCCAGGAGCGACTGAATCTGGCAAGAGCTAAAAATTAATTCCCTTCAAATCAATAATTTGCAATTAAGCACAGAAGACAGTAAAGCCAAGGGGGGCCGGCCTCTGAAGGAGGAGGACAGCTGAGCACTGGAAGCCTCTGGAAGTGGGGGGGGAGCCCTGGGCTCCAAGCAAACAAATGAACATTCGGTGCCATTGTTTGCAGGAAGCAAGCAGAGACCTAAGTGGTACTTGAGAGGGGAAGAAAGGATCGAGAGCTTCTATCAGCAGGACAGGATGCCAGGAGCTGATTTACTCTCTCTCGACAGAGCTCTTTGCTTATGCACTTCCCATGGCTCCGCGCCCCGCCCCACCAAGCTGGGGTCCTCTGAAGCCTCTAGAACAGGGCTTCACAGTGAGCTGGCTGCAGGCAGCACCCAGCTCATGAGAGAATTGGAAGCCTGCCTGGGTCGCTCCCCAGCCTCAGCAGCAAGTGTCAGACCAGCCTGGGTGAGCGCCAGGCGGGCAGTGCCAACGGGGAGCGCAGACAGGATACAAGCAGGCAGCTCGATGGAGCTGGGATTGCAGGATGGATGATGTTACACGGTGATAGCTGGAGTCTGGGGCCCAGCGCCGTCCCTAGGGTCTCCAGAGACGCGTGGGGATATGCTGAAATTCCTGAAACAAAATGGAAGTGTGTTTAATTTTAGAAGCAAACGCATGCCATGTCACACTGGGGGGCGGGGAGGTGGAAATAGAATGAAAAGACAGGAGATGCAATGTACAGAGATCACGAAACCAAACGAGTCTTCCGAGTCCTCCCCAAAACCACAGTAACATAAGGAGGGGAAGACCATCATTTCCCCCACCAGAGTTAATAACTGATTTATCTATGAGTCATGGTAAGTCAAAGCTGGACTCCCTGATCAGAAGTACAGAGAGGAGAAAAATGTCCCTTCAGGACCTACCGTGGACCAGGGCCTACCACTTCGTGACAGTATCCCTGGGGTCCTCGTGCTGCTTAGAGACTGATTTTTAACTGTGGCCCTTGTTTTCCCTGGGAAGACGCTTCCCATGATCGATTTCTTAATTCCAAAATATGAATTGAGCCCCACTCTCTGTGAATCATTTGTTTCAACATGAAGAAAGAGCCAGAGCCCGGTAAAGACAGAGCCCCTGTTTATAATCTAGTGAGGAGAGCGACATTCACAAGGCAAAAGATGACATGATCCAGCAAGTGTTAAGCGCCAAAGGGAAAGAGCAGAAATCCAAAGCCCCATGCACAGAGATGAGCCGGAACCTCCGGGAACAGGAAGTCAAGTACCCGCGAGTGTTGAGGGGAGGCTGGGCAGAGAGCACGGCTTGAAGGGGAAGAGGAAGAAGGACGTGCCCAGGGAAGAGGACAACCGGAACCCAGGTGCGGAGATAAGAAAGGAGAAACTGGACCTGTGAGGCGGTATCAGGGCCACTGGCGATGCGTTTCTCTTTGAGGATATTGTGATGATCCAGAATGAAAAGGGGTTGGCACTGTGACAAGGTCCAAATCTCTCTGATTCTGAAAGGAACTCTAACCCTAGGAGACAATAAGAAAATGCAACGAGGCCGTCATTCGACAACTGTTTGCCACGCACCCAAGGCTCTCCACTGGCTTGGCTCATTGCCGAGAGATCTGCTCTCTGCAGAGGGCCAGGCTGCAGTCTTACTAGGTGACAGGTTACTGTAGCCAAGACTCTCACCCCACTGCACTTTAGGTTGTGGGCGTTGACAGTTCTCCTAAATGTAGAACAAGGGCTCCAGGGAGAGTCCCAGTCAGCTGGGGCAACATTTTAGGACCCGAGGCAACACAGGGGCACCATGACTAACCTTTACGCGCTGGTCAAACCCAAAGTCATTGTCATAATAGGAAAGGAGAAGGAGAGTCGGCAGGCGTCATTCGCTCTATGGCCAAGGTTCTGCATCCCTCTCTCCTGAGCTGGGCGGGAAGGAGGCTGGGGGAGACCTCTCTTCTCCCGTCTCTACTTCTCCCTTCCTTTGGAGGAACCAAGACATTGCATCTTCAAGGAGGAGAGATCACAGTCCGGATTGTTTCAACTCCAGAACATTCTACTGGACTACTGTCCTACGGGGTGGACAAAAGGAATGGAACAAAAGGTCACCAGACACACAAAGGTTGTACCTTAACCTCCTGCAGCAGTGCAGGGAGAGGTCCCAGGTTCAAGGTCCCTTCAGTTTCTTCTCTCACTCCCCCTCCTCTAGGCCAGGGTGGTGGAGTCCCTGAGCTGCCCCACTGGACACACACACG